TTGTACAGCCACTTTGAAAATCAATATGGTGGTTTCTCAGAAAATTGGGACTCAATCTACCTCAAGATCCATCGATACCACTCTTGGGCATATACCCAAAGGATGTTCAATCATGCCACAAGGACACTTGCTCAACTATGTTCATAGCAGCATTATTTGTAATAGCCAGAACCTGGAAACAACCTAGATGCCCCTCAACCGAAGAATGGATAGAGAAAATGTGGTATGTTTACATAATGGAATATTACTCAGTAGTTAAAAACAATGTCATCAGGAAATTTGAAGGCAAATGGATAGAACTAGAAAAAAATATCCTAAATGAGGTAACCCAAACCCATAAAGACAAACATGGTATGTATTCATTCATACGTATATATTGGCTGTAAAGTAAAGGCTAACCATGCTACAATCAGCAGACCCAGAGAGGCTAGGTAACAAGGAGGGCCCAAGGTGGGATGAATGGTTCTCCCTGGGAAGGGAAATAGAGGAGATCTCCTGGGTGGACTGGGGGGGGACAGGAACATGAGGGATCAGGTTGGAGGTGGGTGGAGGGAGAGAGTACTGGAAGAAATGCCTGGAAAGGGGGGTATTTTGGGGTCAGGTAGAAACCTGACTGATGCAAGGGAAACTCCATTTATCTACAAGGATGACCCCAGCTAAGACTCCTAACAATAGTGGATATGTAGCCTGAATTGACCATCTCCTGTAATTCCCAATTGTCATCAGAAAGCCTTCATCTAAGAACTGGTGGAAACAGATGCAGATACCTGCAGGCAAACATTAGGCCAAACCCAGGGAATCCTACTGAAGAGAGGGAGGGAGGATTGTAGGATCCAAGGATACCACAAGAAAACCCAAAGAAACAACTAACCTGGCTCATAGGAACTCACAGAGTCTGAACCAACAACCAGAGAGCCTTCATGGGACCAACCTCAGACCTCTCTATATATGTGACAGTTTAGTTTGATCTATTTGTCAGAGTCCTAACAATGGGATCAGGGGCTGTCCCTAACACTTTGGCTGGCTCTTGGGAAATTATTCCCTATACTGGATTGCCTTGCCCAACCTTAATAAAAGGGGAAGTACTTATTCTTACTGCTACTTGATATGCCATATTTTGTTGATACCCATGGGAGGCATGCCCCTTTCTGAACAGAAAGAGAGGAGGAGTGGATGAAGGTAGGGGGAGGGAGTAGGAGAAGAGGAGGGAAGAGAAACCGAGGTCAGGATGTAAAATAAATAGATAAATTAAATTTTAAAAAATGTATCCTTTCCCAAAATTTCCAAAGTAGGCTTCCCATCTCTTATTTCAAACTCTGGAGGCCATATGTATTTTGGTAATTCAAAACTTTTAAAAGAATGATGTATTTATCTGTCATGTTTTATATAAAATCCTCAGGTCTAGGTTAGCAAAATAAATCAGGTATATTAATATTTTCCCCAAAGCACATATAAATATTAACACAAGTGGGTTAAAATCAACAACCTTGAGATGATTCAGGTAGGACCAGATAACAAATGCACTTAGCAAGGTTAGGTGGTATACCAAATGAAGTGATAGAAATGTTCTGTGTTCAGAGCTTCCTGAGTTACCTTTTTTTTTTTTTTTTTTCCTCATGCTAGAGATTAAACCCAAGGCCTCACACATGTTCAGCAAACTCTACTCCTGGCCCCAAAGCTTTCTGTGTTCAGCTTGGACACGACTGCAGAGGAAAGCCATGCAGCCCTTTAAGGAGAACTGTGTGAGCCTTTGCACCAATCCAGAGGAATGGCCATGTCCCAGTTTTGGATGAAGGAAGCACGCCGAGAACAGCTTTGGAGTGTGGAGTCCCAGGCACATACACAGCAGTGGGGAGGAACCTCGGAGGCGGCCTTCATTCAGCCTGATGCCCCTCCCCATCTTTCCTACTCACAAGGTCATATGCGTGCATGGGTATGGTATGTGGTGTGCACATGTTTTATGCGCTTGTTAGGGTAGGTAGAGGTGTGCACATTCATGTGTATAAGCCAGAGGACAGTGTCAAACGTCTTTCCTCATTCTCTACCTTTACTTCTTGGGGCAGACCTTGTCACTAAATCTGAAGTTCATCAATTCAGATAGGACAGCTGGCTAAAGAAATTCCAGGATCCACCCGTCTCCACCTGCCCCAGCCCCACCTTGTCCCCCAGGGCAGGGACACAAGGTACAAGACACCATGCCTGATTTTTTAATCCTTAAATCCCTGGATTTTTAGGGATCTAACTCAGATCCTCAAGCTTGTGTGGAAGGCACTTCACGGACACCCATCTTCCCAGTCCTTTCACAGGGCTTTCCAACACTTAATCTCTGCTTAAGAAATGCTGTGGAGATATACTGATTGTATGTGGAGGGAATTTCAAGTATGGATTTATTTGTATGATTTATGAGGCAGAGAGAACAAGTTCACCTTTATAAGCTGCCTACACTGGTGACAGGTAACTGAAAAGTTATGTATGATTTAGGTGAGAGAGTGCACAAAGGAATTTTATTTGGAAGACTAACTAAGGCCCTTTTGTCAGGGCAGCAGACCTGAAGTTTGCAAAACACACTGGGAATTCTACAGCAGACCTGAGCCCAGACGTGAAGCAACCTTTTCAGCACCCAAGGAGGAGATGTAAGAACTAGGATACGACTGCTCCCACTGCAAGCTTCTCAAGATACACTCAAGCTCCGACCTTCTCTGAATGTCTGTCCCTGGGCTGTTGCTCAAGGACACACTCCTATCACTGTCGCTGAGAGAGCCAGAGGTGGAGGAGAGGTTGCCCCTGCCTTACTAATCTTTTCCATTCTAAATGGTAAAAACATGAACAACCCCCGCCCCCCGCCCCCACACACACACCATGAAGCATAGGAAGAAAAAATAAATAAGAGAACAATCAGTCTTTGGTCTCCCTGAACACTAAATGGAAATACCCTGAGAAGAACTGTCAATAATGGATAAAAATTAAAGCATCTTAATTGGGGAGTTGCAAATTCAAATCTCATACAGTAACATTCACTTTTCATCTCCTGCATTCTATATTAACTTTTTAAAAATAAACATGTATTAACTTCATAGTTTTAAAAATCTCCAATTTTAAATTGTGGACATAACTCTAAAAATGAAGTCAGGTAATGTATACACAGTGCTGTCTAAAATCATTCTCTTATAGAGCACTGTCTGGGAAGCCAACAATTGCCAGTCCTAAAGTAAACATTCTATTTGTGTGCTGTTTGGTTTGGTTTGGTTTTCCATACTTCTCCAGTCTAAGGAGATGTCCACACTCAGCAGTGATGTATCCCAGAGAACAGAACATACGGGAGCCCTACCCTCAGAAAGTGTGCTCACCTCTGTGGATTGAGATGTTGAACATACACACCTCATGCCCATTCCTCACTCGTTCCTAAGTGCTGTGAGGAAGTGAGGTGAAAAGGTCTCCACAACAGCTCTGTGAGTCAGAGCTCATCCTCAGTTACAACAGCTCACTGTTCTAAGCTATAGTGAGATCATAGCAAGATGTTCTCAGGTGCTGGTGCACCGTAGGGTGTCTCCAGATAACAGTGATGTGCTACACTACTGAAAAGTTACAAGTGGGTTTTCAGCACAAAGAAACGATACATGTTTGGGAAGATAAATATGTTTAACTTACCTTCAACATTATCTTAATATATACATGTATCAACACATCACCTGATACCCCATTAATACACAAAGAGAATTTCCATCAACGTTTATAACATTAAAATATATTAATTATAATAACACGTAGTGTGGGAAATAATAATAATAGTTATCACTAGTACAATAGTTATCAACAGCATTATCTAGTGTCAGTAGGTCAGTGAGGTAAACTTGGGAGTGAAAGAAGAAGAAAGACTATGTGAGGGAGTTATAATTATGGCCAAGACGTGCGGTAGTACCTCTGTATACCACTAAAAAAGAGCTCTTCTCCACACAGATTTAGAAACCGCCGAAGCCAGACACTCACCCCGCCCCAGAACAGCAGAACACTGGCCACCAGAAGGACAGCATGGAAACATGGAAGGCACGTGTTCTCCAACGGCATGCCTTACCTTTCCCAAGACAGCTCTAATTCCACAGACTCGGTCCCTTTGAGTCTATAACACACTAAAGTAACCCGAGGGAATCCCGCATCAGACCAAGTACAGTCTGTTTCACACAACTGTGTCCACTAAACTCAAAGGGCATTGAACAACGAGAGAGAAACAGCTCCAGTGAGACCAGACATGCCATCGGCACACACCGTAACCCACAGCATTCCTAGAACCTGGGTTTTCCCACTTCACAAAATAAGAACACATAAAATGTAATTTAAATATGCAGAAAGACAGGCATTTCACTCAAGTCACATTGTAAATTAATTCTTGCTCCTCTCCCAACCAGGGAAGAAGACTCCTTAAAAATCAGAATTCTATGTGTATCTCATAACAACTCTCAATGGAAAAGTTATCAGTTGATTTATTAAATGTAAAATGAGAGTCATAAGGAATTCAGAGCGGTGCTAAAGAGACAGTCAACCTTTGATGGGACCTTAAAGTGGCTTCACTTTATAATTGTTACAATAGAAAATCACATTCTGTTAAGGAGAAGGTAAAGCTCTGACCCCTGTGCTACCTCCGCCCTCTGCATGGCCACAGCAGCCCATGACTCTCAATGGAGGACGAGGCCTCAGAGGTCAGTTTAGCAGAACGTTCACAGCAGCCCCACCCATGAACTGAAGCAGACCCCAGAGTCAAAGACTATGCATCACCTCTTCTACAGACCGTCTTACTTGACATTCCACAACATCAAGAGGACCCCATCCAACTTACACCAGGGCTATTTTTAAGACCCACATTCGATACTACTAAGAACTTTGGATGGATCAAGAAGAAAAATAAGGTTATATCCACTGCGGAGTCATTACACCGTGCCTGCTTCCCTCAGTTTCCCTCAGCTGTTCTATTAGCAGACAGAAGATGGCCTTCACCCATCACTGACCTTATGGAGGGCAGGAGCCAATACTGGTACCAAGAATCCATTGTAAATGTAGCTGACCAGCTGAGAGCGAATCAAAGGGTGGGCCACCTGAGACAGAAGAGGAACACAGGGTTCAGTCTCCACGGTATCTTAAGACCAAGCCATTCTGTGCACATCTTACATTCAAAATGGAACCCCAAATTTGGGGCATGTTTTCAGTTGTTAAATAATACTTCAGACCACACAATGACATGATTTTTTTCCAAATATCTATCACAGTATAAACAGTTAAAGTTATACTTCCAAATATAGAAAAATGTTAATTTTAAAGCTGATTTGAAAAAGACAATGAAAAGACTGACTATGCATAAATATTTATAAGTTAAAATGAATAAATTATAAAGTATAATTTTTGGCCCTTAACTCCCTCTGGGCTCCATATCCATTTGTGCTACCTTTTTAAGAGTGTAACTATAGAAAATGATAATTAAATACACTTATTTTGCTAACAGAGAACTTTGAAGATATATTTTCTGATATTTATATTAGGGAGGAAAGGATCTGTAAAACATTCTCATAAAAAGTGGACAGCTGTTCAAATGCAGAAAACATTGCTGGTGGTACTGAACTTCCCAAACTTGATTTTCAAAATACATGGTAACATGGACAAACCTTTACTAATATTTTTTTATAAGTAATCCTTCAGTCCCTAACCCAATATCATTATTTATGTGTTTTTAACTAATAGTTGCCTTTAATTTTCAAACAAATACATAATTTCCCCGTTCTTCACCATGCCCGTCAGCTTTAGAGAGAGAGAGAGATTGAGATTCAGTCAAACAATAAAGTAAAAAGCATTTCTAGGGAAGTAAAGCTAGCCGTTTAAATTACTGACAATCTCTCTGCGTACATCCGAAGAAGAGCTAATAGTAGTTCCATCATTTTTATTTCCATACATTTCTGCAAGAAAATGTTGATAGACTATAATATTAAAGGGAAAATAATTTAAAATGTAATCCATTTATCTTAAATACAAATAAAACTTCCTTTGACTTGGCAATAAAAATGAGATAGGAACTAAAGTAATTTACTTTCATTTTCCTCCAGAAGCTGTCTCTTTATTTGGTAGATAAACAGATTATAACTAACATTTCTCACCCTAAAAAAATCACCATAAAACAAACCTGATTTCTTAATAAATCCAATATTAAGGTAATATTTATGCTACCTAGAAGAAATTTTGATGAAAACTTAGTATACCCTTAAACATATATAAAATTGGATTTTTATTGAAAACAGTAACAAGAAATCTGACGGTAAAAATCTAATCAAAAAGCCAAATACACAAGAGTTCAGTGGCTGTTTTTTCCCCTAAAGCGAGCCAATTTCAAAGCAAATTTAATTTGTGTAGCTAAGAAGATTGTTAACTTCTTCCGAATTCAATTGGGATAACAATATTCTTTATGTAGTGTGTGCACCATTAAGCAAAATAAAGTGTTTTCCTTTGTAAGCTCCCAAGAAGACCTTGAAGTAAAAGGGTTATAATTTGGAGTACTTAAGCAGCCTAAAAATATCTATTTAATGAGCCAGCCAGTGAACTTATTTTTGATGGGTAAGTGGATAATCAAAGCAGAATAACACTTTTTATAGAGAAAATAAAATCTTTTCATTTGTTCTCAATTGAAACTTTCAGAAGCCTACCAAACATTTTCACTCCTTTCAGGATATTCAATGGGATTCGAGCAAAGCCTCATGATTCCATACATACTTCTCAAAATTGATGAAGGGTGAATTTTGAGAGTGGTGCTCACGCACGCTAATCCCCGGCACAGCTTGAGCTCTGACCGGACCCCAGCCCCGATGGCTTCCACTGCTGCGGTGCCTACCTGGATGACTGCATTACAGAACTCCAGCGAGTTCATGAACTGCACGAGGGGAGGCAGCAGCAGCCAGTCGTCTTTCAGAAGGCAGTGCCACTCCTCACCCTTTTCTTCCAGCTTTGTGGGCAGGGACGAGTAGAGGCCACTGAGTCCAGTTGCAAGTACCTGCATTCAGAAAGAAAAGGCAAAATAGTCTTGTCTGAAGTGCATGATCTATACCTAACAGCTCACAAAGATGCCAATGTTACTGATCCAAAGACAGAACTCTGAGTAGCGAGAGATTAGCAATATAAGAAGGTAGCAACTAGCTAGGACGGGTTATCCCTATTCTATGGATCGAATAGGAAGCCCCCCAGCAGACAGCAAGGCAAAACCAGAGCTACTTAGCTACTAGTCAAGAGGTTGGTGAGGGTGACTCATCTTCTATGTCAGGCACCATGATGGGCTAGGAGTCAAGCAAGTGAGAAGGCAAAACACAAAGATGAATGAAATATGAGCCTCATACCCAAGAAGTTCAGAGAAGGGACAGACTCATAAGAAACCCAGGACAGCACAACTTGGAGAGAGCCAACAGAGAAATACATCAGTGCACATCCTCTAGTCTATGGGAGGCAGCCTTGGATAGAGGCGGTCCAGGACCAGAGGCTATGCATATACTTAGGAGAAAGACTGCTTGCATGTTAAGGGTCAGGACTGACACATACTAGCAAGTTTGCGTGTTAGAAAATACTTTCATATATATATATATATATATATATATATATATATATATATATAT